GGGGCGCCCGTGGCCCCCGGGGCGGCCGCGCCCATACGGGGGCGGCCGCAGCGCCACGTGCTGGCCATCGGGGCACGAGCAACGGCACGGTTTCGGACTCATCGATGGTTGATCGGGGGCGGCCAAGAGGGGGGTGATAATTTAGGTACGTACGTCGTACGTACGTGAATCGTGCCTGGACGGCACATCGGTTACAGTGCGCGGCTGCTTAGCTCAAGAACAGCCGGGTAAAACACGACGAAGCACCAAACTGCGGAGGAGGGGGGAAAGGGGAGAGGAAAGGGGAGAAGGCGGCCTCAGAAATCGTTCCGCTGACCTTCGTTGCCGTCCAAATTCAAGAGTAGACACCATGGCGGGGGCCATGGTATCCCTCCAGATTTCATGGCGCCTCTTCTTAGTTCAATACGTATCGTTCGTCGGTCGTTGAAACCCAGAGATCCAACGTCGGACTCATCTCAGGCGATCGCAAACATGGATTACAGGGGGCGTGGATTAGCGACGGGTCCCGCTTGCCGAACGAGGCGGCACCGGCCGCAATTTGGGGAGGGCACATCCCCCGATCCATGGATTTGGCGACCGCGCGCCTAGTCCAGGACCGCTACTTCATGTTTGCGCGCCCCCGAAACGAGCATCGGCACAGTCCCAGACAAGACGGACGTTTTTCACAGTTTTCGGTCTCTAGGGGCCCTCGCCGGGCCTGGGGGCCGTCAATTATGCTACAGAGGAACCCCACATACTTCTATTATGGCTGGAGTTATGATAGCTGAAGTGAAGCATGTGAGAATGATGTTGGTGGCCGTTGCCCCGCCGATAACCGTTGGTGACGCCACTCAAGAGGAGAGGTGGAAGAGGAGAAGCGCCGCGCCAGCCACACTTTGCGAGCCCGGTGACCTGGACGACCGGCGCGCAAAGCGGCCGCGGTGAGGGACCACCCCCTGCGCACCCCGTCTGGCGTCGGGAAAGCGCCACGCTTGCTATGCCCTGGACGACCGTCGTGCATAGTGGCCGCGGTGAGGGACCAACCCCTGCGCACCCTCTATGGTGTCGAGAAAGTGCCACGCCTGCTATGCCCTGGACGACCGGCGCGCACAGCGGCCGCGGTGAGGGACCACCCCCTGCGCACCCCGTCTGGCGTCGAGAAAGCGCCACGCCTGCTATGCCCTGGACGACCGTCGTGCGTATCGGCCGCGGTGATGGACCACCCCCAGCGCACCCCCTGTGGTGTCGAGAAAGTGCCACTCCCGCCACGATTTGCGAGCCCGAAACGGATAGGGAGACCACCCCCAGCGCACACCTTTTGTGGTGTCGAGGAAATGCCACGTCTGCCACGCTTTGCGAGCCCGAAACGGATAGGGAGACCACCCCCAGCGCACCCTTTGTGGCGTCGAGGAAGTACCACGCCTGCCACGCTTTGCGAGCCCGAAACAGACAGGGAGACCACCCCCAGCGCACCCCCTGTGGTGTCGAGGAAGTGCCAAGCCTGCCACGCTTTGCGAGCCCGAAACGGATAGGGAGACCACCCCCAGCGCACCCCTTTGTGGTGTCGAGGAAGTGTTACTCCTGCCACGCTTTGCGAGCCCGAAACGGATAGGGAGACCACCCCCAGCGCACCCTTTTGTGGTGTCGAGGAAGTGCCACGACTGCCACGCTTTGCGAGCCCGAAACGGATAGGGAGACCACCCCCAGCGCACCCACTGTGGTATCGAGGAAGTGCCACGCCCGTCACGCTTTGCGAGCCCGAGACGGATAGGGAGACCACCCCCAGCGCACCCCCTGTGGTATCGAGGAAGTGCCACGCCCGCCACGCTTTGCGAGCCCGAAACGGATAGGGAGACCACCCTGTGCACCCCCTGTGGCGTCGTGGAAGTGCCACGCCTGCCACGCTCTGCGAGCCCGAAACGGATAAGGAGACCACCCCCAGCGCACCCCTTGTGGTGTCGAGGAAGTGCCACGCCTGCCACGCTTTGCGAGCCCGAAACGGATAGGGAGACCACCCCAGCGCACCCCATGTGGTATCGAGGAAGTGCCACGCCCGCCAAGCTTTGCGAGCCCGAAACGGATAGGGAGACCACCCCCAGCGCACCCCCTGTGGCGTCGTGGAAGTGCCACGCCTGCCACGCTTTGCGAGCCCGAAAGGGATAGGGAGACCACCCCCAGCGCACCCCCTGTGGTGTCGAGAAAGTGCAACGCCTCTTGTTGTCGCGCATGTGCTGCGCACCCCCTCTGGTGACGACAAAGTGCCACGCCTGCCGTGTCATGCGCCATGGCCTGCATAGAACCTCCTGCCATCCACTGCGAATCCTACAGTAGGAATCCTACACGCACGTCTTGTATAGGGCATGTCATGTGAATGTGTATGATGCGTGTGCGGCCGTATCGGAACGTGTGTCTCACGTGGGTGCCCAGTATGTTGTGCATACGTCTTGGGTGTATGATGCAGTGAACATGCGTCTTGTGCGTGCGAGTGTGTGCATGTGTGCGGCTGTATGTAGACGCGTGTCACATGTATTGGCCGTGCATGTGTTGAGCGCGGGTAAGGGGAGGAAGGAAGAGAGAGGAGGGGAGGTGTGAGGAGGAGACGCGGGTGCGCCGCGGCAGGGAAGAAAACCAGAACCCCACGAAACATGTGGGGAAAAAACGACCCAGGACGACACACCGGTCCACCGTATTGAAAAAATCACGACATCGGATCTCAGGGTCGGTCGTTGAAAGCAGGTATTTTGGGAGTCCCAGCGCCCAATCTACTTCCCCATATCCTAAGATGGGGTTCTTGTTATTACTTGGACGCCTCCTACTCCCTCTCCCTCCTCCTCTTTCCTCCTCCCCTCCTCCTCTTTCCTCATACTCAGACCTACTCATACTCAGACTTACTCATACTCAGACTTACTCAGACCTACTCATACTCAGACTTACTCACACTCAGACATACTCATACACAGACTTACTCATACACAGACTTACTCACACCCAGACGTACTCATACACAGATTTACTCATACCCAGACTTACTCATACACAGTATTACTCATATTCAGACTTACTCATACCCAGACGTACACATACACAGACTTTCTCATACACAGACCTACTCATACCCAGACTTACTCATACACAGACTTACTCATACACAGACTTACTCATACTCAGGCATACTCATACTCAGACCTACTCATACTCAGACTTACTCAACACACATCAGATTTGGAGGATGTCTCAAGCGGGGCGCTGGTTTCAGCACCCCTAAGGGGAGCCGCCAGGGGTGTTTGCACGGGCTCGTTCGCGGCCATTTTGTGGGGATGTCTCAGGCGGTTTGCTTGTTTCTGGGCTCAACATCCTTCGCTTGGAGAGCAGATTGTGAGGATGTCTCAGGCGGGGCGCTGGTTTCAGCACCCCTAAGGGGAGCCGCCAGGGGTGTTTGCACGGGCTCGTTCGCGGCCATTTTGTGGGGATGTCTCAGGCGGTTTGCTTGTTTCTGGGCTCAACATCCTTCGCTTGGAGAGCAGATTGTGAGGATGTCTCAGGCGGGGCGCTGGTTTCAGCACCCCTAAGGGGAGCCGCCAGGGGTGGTTGCACGGGCTCGTTCGCGGCCATTTTGTGGGGATGTCTCAGGCGGTTTGCTTGTTTCTGGGCTCAACATCCTTCGCTTGGAGAGCAGATTGTGAGGATGTCTCAGGCGGGGCGCTGGTTTCAGCACCCCTAAGGGGGCCGCCAGGGGTGTTTGCACGGGCTCGTTCGCGGCCATTTTGTGGGGATGTCTCAGGCGGTTTGCTTGTTTCTGGGCTCAACATCCTTCGCTTGGAGAGCAGATTGTGAGGATGTCTCAGGCGGGGCGCTGGTTTCAGCACCCCTAAGGGGAGCCGCCAGGGGTGTTGCACGGGCTCGTTCGCGGTCAGTTTGTGGGGATGTCTCAGGCGGTTTGCTCGTTTTCATGCCCAACATCGCCGGCGGGGCTGCGCCTCCAAAAGTGGTGAAACGCGCCCTGGGGAACCAGGGTTGAGGAGGAAGAGGGGGAGGAAGAGGAGAAGGAGGAGAAGGAGGAGGAGGAGGACTGGGGGAGGAAGCAAGGGGATCAGGACGATGAGGTGAAGGATGACGACAAGGATGAGGAGGATGATGTCTAAGAGATTGAGGACTGTTCGCTCATGAACAGACGCTCACCACGGCATGACATAAAACATGAGATGCACATATGGGGAGCTCCACGCAGTGAGTAATTCAAGAGTCGAGTGTTTTTCTTTGTTCTCTCCTCTACAGGAGGTGGGCAGAAACCCAATCCCTTCCCACTTCAAGGTTCTGCCTGCTTCTTCCGACCGATGGGTACTCAGACCTCCTCGCGTTGTGAAAAGATCATGACGGGAGGTTTTTCGCAATTTTCGGCCTCTGGGGGCCCTCGCCGGGCCTCGGGGCTGTCAAAACTCGACTCTGGATGAGGTCCAGACCTCTGGGGGTCGACGTTGTGCAAAAAGCACGACGTCGGAGTTCTGGGAATGGCATCGTCGGCTACACGTAAGAGTGACTGTTCGCCAGAGTGCAGTTACCTGACCGCGATGCGGAAGCGTCGTCTTGCGCGCTCGGGTCTGGCCTTCCCTCGGCCCCGAACGTCGCGCACCACAGGTCACTCTTGCCGAGGGTCATTAGTACGCGTAGCCGACATAGACAGAAACTTTCGGAGGTTCGCGCGGATTTCTCAGATCTGCGCTGGACCGCCCTCCCTGGCACGCTCCGCGCGTTTGGGGCGGCACCAGAGGCGCCACCAGGGGGCTCCGGCGCCGATCCGAGAAATCCGCGCCTGGCTGGAACCACCTCAGTCACCTAGCCGGCTCACAGAGAAGGAGGAGGAGGAGGAGAAGGACCCTGAGATATGACGACGAGCCCCGGGCACCAGCTTTCTGCGGCATTTCTCGAGCCATATCGATACCCAAACCCCCGACGTCGTGATTTGTTCATGACGTGACCCTCAGAAGTCTGGACCTCTTTCCGGGGAGTTGACGATCCCGGCCTGGCGAGGGTCACCGGAGGCGGAAAATAGTGAAAGACCTCCCGTCGTGATTTTTTTCACAAGGGAACCCTGAGATCAAATGTCGTGATTTTTTCCATACGGGGTCCCCGGAAGTCTGGACCCATTTCCCAGGACCGGTGTGTCGTCCCGAGTCGCTTTCTGACGGCCCCGAGGCCCGGCGAGGGCCCCTTGGAGACCGAAAACTGCGAAAAACGTCCGTCTTGCTTTTTTCAATGCGTTGGATCTTTGGGTTTAAACGACCGACCCAGACCCCCGACGTCATGATTTTTTCATTACGTCGACCCCTGGAGGTCCCGACCCGTTCCCCTGGGCCGGTTTCTCGTCCTGAGTCGTTTCTGACTGCCCCGAGGGCCTGCAAGGGCCCCCAGAGGCCGAACATCACAAAAGGCCTCCCGTCGTGATCTCTTCCTTGCCCGAGGGGCTCTGGGCACGAGTCCCCCAGGCCATGGTGCCGCCCACCCCCCTGCGCCCGGTCTGCCAGTGGTCGGACGCGGAGCTCTCCCAGCTCGTGCGGGGCGCCCTGCGGGGCGAGGCCGAGGCCCCGCCGCCCTGCGCGGCGGAGCAGTCGCTGCTGCTGGAGGACGGCAGGTCCGGCTTCGTCGAGCTCTCCCAGCTCTCGAAGGCCGCCGCGAAGCAGAGACCCAGACCCGCTCGCGCTGTGAAAAAATTGCGACGGGAGGTTGTTTGCTATTTTCGTCTTTGGGGGCCCTTGCTGGCCCTCGGGACCGTCAAAAAACGACTCAGGATGAAAAACCGGTCCCAGGGAATGGGTCGAGACCTCCAGGGGTCGACGTAATGAAAAGATCATGACGTCGGGGGTTTGGGACCTTGTTCCGCGAAGGAGCGCGCTTCTTTATTGCTTGGGGCATAGTGAGCATCATGGCCCCCGCCCCCCCCCCTGATAACGTAACGCCCCTCCCCCCGAGTGCGCTCCGGGCACTGCCGCCGTGCGCACGGCGGGGGGGGGGGGCGTTACATTATACCCCCCCTGGCCCCTCCCCCCCTGGCCCCCCCTGTAATGCCCATGATCGCCGAAAATGAAGAAACGCGCTCAAGGAGGAAAGGGTACTCATACCGCTACCCTTCCCTCGTGTTCCCTCCTGGGAGGCCCTGGTCGCCGCCGCTGGATTCGCCTCGAGCTCCTGGTCAGCACGCGCCCCGGGAGAGGTCCGAGGCGTAGCGGTCTCAGATCCTGGCGCTGCAATTGTTTCACGACGGGCGTCTTCGCCCGGATTCGGGGCCCTGGGGCCCTCACGGATCGATCGGTGTCGAACAATGAGGCAGAACGATGGGGTCTGGGGCTCTGGTCGTGATTTTTGGGCAAGTTGCAAGTTTAGTTTGGCAAGTTTTTTGGCGATGCTGTAAATTTTTTGGCAGCGTCGGATCTCAGAGGACGGGCCCAGACACCCCCCGTCGCTGATTTTGCACAGCGTGGGCCCCCGGGCCCTGGGGTCTGGGTCCCTTCCCTGAGACTGGCATCGATCCTTGTCTTATATTATAAGAATAACCTGGCGATAGCGGGCGTGAGCAGAGGAGGGTGTCGGAGGGGGGGAGGGAGCCAGTCACGTCACGATTCGCGCTGGCGCAGTCTGGGCATGCTTAGGAATGGCAAATTCCCAGGCGGCGCTGGCGCGAATCGTGACGTGAGCAGGAGGGGGGGGAGATTTTGACGGTCCTCGGGGCCCGGTGAGGGCTCCGGGAGGCCGAAAACGATGAACATTTGTCCGCCGTGATTTTTCCTCCTGACCCCGGGGATCTGGGGGTTTCTGTGGGAGTCTTCTTTGGCCGGTCTCGGGCGCCCCGCGGGTCCTCGCCGGGCCGCGGGGCCGTCGAGAAGCGGCTGGAGGAGGAGGGGCTGGTCCTCGGGGACGGTCTCGCGGTCCTGGATCGGCCGCGCGCCAGGTTCGCCGTTCGCGCGTGAGGGGCATCCGGTGTGCGGCCTTGGGGGGGGCGCGGGGAGGTGGGGGCCAAGCCCGAGCAGGCAGGCCGCTGTCGTCGCCTCGCGCGTGACGATCGGCAGGCCGCGCACCAAAGGGCACTCTTCCCGATCCAGGGTCACCCCTCGCGGGCAGCCGGGGGATGGAGCAGCTGGTCCCAGGGAGAGCCTCGTGATCCAGGACGCGACTTCACCAGGACCCCGTTCCCTAGTGAGGCCTTCCAGAACCGGCCTCGCCTGCGACGCGTCTCGGCCTCGGCGGAAGCTGGCGACAGGCCAGCGGCTGCTCCGCCCGCGGAAAGCGGCCGAACCAAAGTTGAGACGTCAGCACTGTTTGGGTGCAGGGCCTTCGGAGTTGGACTTCTGCCCAGCAGGGTGCGCGCTACGGCCCCTTCATGTACGTGGGCCAGGGTGGGGGCACCCACGTGGCGGAGCCCACGTTCAAGTATGTCGGCCACGGGGCCGGCGACTTCCACGTCCCCGAGCCCACGCCTCGGACCTACTGGTGGCTGTGCTACCCGGCGTGCTGCCTCTTGTGCTGCTGCGTCTTGCTGCCGTTGCTCCTGGCACTGGTCCTGAGGCGCCCTCAGCCTCCGGCTCCTCCAGCCGACACCCTCGCGCCGGGGGGCATCGTCTGCGAGCAGGCCTTCGACACCGCGGCCCAACGGTTCCTCGCGCCCGACATCACGCTGGCGCAGATCCACTTCTGCTGCGACCACTTCGACATCGGCTGCTCGCTCGGCACCACGGCAGGGACGACGGTGACGGTCCCAGTCGTGACGGTCCCAGTCGCAACGGTGACCACGACCGACGGCGACGACGGAGGCTTCTCCTGCGTCACGGCAGGCGAGAACGTGGCGGACACGTGGTCGGAGGCGAAGAAGAAATTCTGCTGTCGGAACGCGGGCGTGGGCTGCCTCACCCCGCCACGGGTGGTGGAGTTCGACTGCGACGCGGGCCTGCCGAAGTGGGACACGGGATGGTCCGATCCCCACTTCCTTCAAGGAGGAGGAGGAGGAGGAGCAGGAGGAGGAGGAGGAGGAGGAGGAGGAGGAGGAGGAGGACTAGGCTGGAGGTTTTCGGACGTTTTAGCGGATGCCTCCAGGTCTTCCAGCCTCGGGGTGCTCTCCAGCAGCTGCGCCGTGCCGACTTCCGCACCGTGCCTGGGCTGCCCGAGTCGTCCCGAGGGGCCGCCAGAGGCCCGAGCTACATGACCCGAAGGCAGGGCCTCCTCGCGTCGTGGGCACAAGGCAACGGACGAGTTTTGACAGTCTTCGGCCTCCCTGGGCTCTGACTGGACCCCAGGGACCGTCAAAACCCCCCCGCCCCTGTTCACGTCACGATTCGCGCTGGCGTCGCCTGGGAATTAGCCATTCCTAAGCATTCCCAGGCGGCGCCGGCGCGAACCTTGACGTGAGTGACCAGCCCCCTCCCCCCCTGCGACACCCTCATCCGACAGTTTTCGGCCTCCTGGGGCCCTGACTGGGCCCCGGGGACCGTCAAAGCCTGGTGTGCCTGGTGTGCCCTCTCAATTCCGTCTTTAGCGTCGATCGGCGTCGAGAAGCGTCTGGGGGTTGATGAGATAGCGCCGATTTAGCGTCGGTCAGAGTCGATTAGCGTAGATTTAGCGTCGATTGCGTCGATTCAGCGCCGACCAGCGTCGATTCGTGAGAGCCGACAAGATGGTGTGGGAGGCTCTCGTGAGTTGCCACCGAAGGCTCCATTGTGGTCGCAAGGCGTCCCAGTGGGGGTCGGGAGGACTCGATATCTCGATATCTCGATATCTCGATATCGAGGGCGGGGACTCGACATCATGATATCTCGATGTTGGGGGCATGGACTCGATATCTCGATTTCTGGGGGCGGGGACTCGGTATCTCGATATCTCGATATCGAGGGCGTGGACTCGGTATCTCGATATCTCGATATCGGGGGCGGGGCCAGGCGGGGACTCGATATTTCGATATCTCGGTATCTCGATATCTCGATGTCGGGGGCGGGGACTCGATATTTCGATATCTCGATATCTCGATACCTCGACATCGGGGAGGGGGGCGTTCGGGGCCGGGCTAGATGTACGGCGCCTCGCCCCCCACCCCCCCATTCCGGGACCAGAATTTCCTTATGCACGGCCTGCGGGCCCGAATGGGCCCCCTCGAGCGGGGCCCGTCCGCGGCGCAGGGCGTGCATAAGGATTTTTTTCTGAGTGCGGGCCAGAGGGATCCGGGGGGGTCAGAGGGGTACGTGAAAGTCCAGATTGCGAGGATGACGATGACGGCGTTGCCGATGATAGTGCTAATGAAGGTGGTGATGATGAAAGTGATGTTGAAGATCGTTATGGGTACGCGGGTAATGCTATGGATGATGATGGTTATGATGACGTCGGTGATGATGATGATAGTCATGAAGACGGTAATGATGATGATGATGATGATGATGATGATGATGATGATGATCATGATCATGATGTTGATGATGCTGCTGATGCCGGCAATGAAGACGATAACAATGCTGATAAAGATGATGATGATGCTAATTATGATGTCGATGATGATGATGATGATGCCGATGATGATGGTGGTGATGATGATGGTGATGATGATGGCGACGACGACGGCGACGATGATGATGATGCTGATCATGATGATGATGTTGACGCTGATTCTGATGATGAGGATTATGATTCTGCTGATGAGGATGCTGTTGATGACGATGATGATGCTGCTGATGCTGATAATGCTTATGATGATGCTGATGATGCTGATGCTGCTGATGATGATACTGTTGATGATGATGATGTTTACGATGATGATGATGATGATGATGATGATGATGATGAAGAAGAAGAAGATGATGATGATGATGATGATGATGATGATGATGATGGTGATGATGATGATGATGATGATGATGATGATGATGGTGATGATGCCCCCTCGAGCGGGGCCCGTCCGTGGCGCAGGGCGTGCATACGGATTTTTTTCTGAGTGTGGGCCAGAGGGATCCGGGGGGGTCAGAGGGGTACGTGAAAGTCCAGATTGCGAGGAAGACGATGACGGCGTTGCCGATGATCGTGCTAATGAAGGTGGTGATGATGAAAGTGATTTTGGTGATCGTCATGGGTACGCGGGTAAAGCTATGGATGATGATGGTTATGATGACGTTGGTGATGATGCTGGTGGTCATGAAGACGGTAATGATGATGATGATGCTGATGATGATGATGATGATGATGATGATGATGATGATGATTCTTATTATGACGATGATCATGATGTTGATGATGCTGCTGATGCCGGCAATGATGACGATAATGATGATAATAGCGATGATGATGATCATGATGTCGATGCTGACGATAATGATGGTGCCGATAATGGTGGTGATGATGATGTGGATGCTGGCGACGACGGCGACGATGTTGATGATGATGGTGATGCTGATCATGATGATGATGATTTTGATGCTGATTCTGATGGTGAGGATGACGATTCTGCTGATAAGGATTCTGTTGATTATGATGATGACGATGATGCTGCTGCTGATGCTGATAATGATTATGATGATGCTGATGATGCTGATGCTGCTGATGCTGCTGCTGATGATGTTGATGACGATGATGTTGATGATGATGATGATGATGATGATGATCATGATGATGATGATGTTGTTGATGATGATGATGATGATGATGATGATGATGATGCGGGTGATGATGCGGATGATGATGCTGATGATGATGATGATGCTGATGATGATGATCATTTTCAGAAGGAGGATGAGGAGAAGGAGGAGGATGAGGATGAGGAGGAGAGGGAGGATGCGGGGGATGAGGATGATGATGAGGAGGAGGAGAAGGAGGAGGAGGAGGCGGTTGAGGAGGGGTAAGCAGGAGAAGGGGGAGGAGGAGAGGGAGGAGGACGAGGAGGAGGAAGAGAAAAGGAAGGAGGAGGAGGAACCATATGTTTGGGGAGACGCAGGAGGAGAGGGGCATGCGGCCAAGGATGCGGAGAAGGAGGACGAGGATGCTGATGCTGATGCGGATGCTGATGATGCTGATGATGTTGATGATGATGATGCTGATTATGATGTTGATGATGAGTACGATAATGCTAAGGATTATAACGAGAAACATTGGGCTTGTGATGATGATGATGTTTCTGATGATGATGATGATGCTAATGATGATTTGGGATGATGATGATTACGACGATGAGGAAGACGATGACGGTGCTGATGATGACACATGGCTGTGAGGATTTTTCTGACGATGAGGATGATGCTTCTGAGGGTGATGTTTCGGATGATTATGATGATGCTGATGATAATTTTGATGATGCTGATCGTGGTGTTGATGATGACGATGACGATTATGATGATTCTGATGGTGACGATGATGATGACGTTTATGATAATGCTGATGATGATACGGATGATGATGATACTGATGATGATGACGACTATGAAGATGATGCTGATGTTGATGTTGATGATGATTACGATTCTGATGATGATGTTGAGGATGATGATGATGATGTTGAGGATGATGATGATGATGGTGATGCTGGTGATGATGATGCTGCTGATGATGATGATGATGTTGATGATTGTGATGATGATGATGATGCCGACGACGACGATGATGATGATGATGATGATGATACTGACGATGACTATGATGATGATGACGTCGATGACGATAATGATGCCGACGATGATGATAGGGGCGGCGGTGGCGATGGCAGCGGTTGGGACGACGACGTCGACGACGACGACGACGATGATGATGATGATGATGATGATGGTGATGATGATGATCATGTTGCTGATGATGATTGTGGTGATGATGATGCTGATGCCGCTGATGATGATGATGATGATGATGATGATGATGATGATGATGATGATGATGATGATGATCTGGTGATGATGATTATGATGATGATTATGATGATGGTGATGATGATGATGATGCTGCTGCTGCTGATGATGATGATGATGATGATGATTATGATGATGATGTTCATCACCCCTGCCATACTCATCGTCCTCATAGTTCCCCTCGGACCCCCTTGGATCCTTCTGGCCCAAACTCAGAAATGTGGAAATTTCCTTAGCACGCCCTGCGCCGCGGACTGGCCCCGCTCGAGCGGGCCCGAGCGGGCATGTGCGGGCTCGCGGCCGTGCATGAGGAAAATCTGGTCCTGGAATTCTAGTCCCCGCCCCCCGATATCGAGATATCGAGATATCAAGTCCCCGCCCCCCGATATGAGACCATTTCTTTATCGCTTGAGGCATGACGGGCGTCATGGCCCCCGCCCAAACCCCCTCTATGACGTGACGCTCCCCCCCCCAGTGCGCTCCGGGCACGGCCGCCGTGCGCATTGGGATCCGCGTAGGTGTCCGCGTAGGAATCCGCATAGGAGTCTGGTCCGCAGTCGTCGTCGTCGACGTCGTCATCGTCGTCGTCGTCGCGTGTGGCTCGTGCCTCGTCGCTCGTCGCTCATCGTAGTCGTGCGCGCGGACGCGGCTGGAGCCTGTTTTTTCTTCCGAGCCGATGACGGCAATCATCTGGGGGGGTGGAGGGGTCGATGACGTCACGCTTCGCGCCAGCGGCGCCTGGGAATGCCTAGGAATGACGAAGGACGGGTGGCAACAGCATGTAGGTGGCGATCTGCACCACAATGCTTGTGTACACCTCAGTGCCTGCGTTCACCACAGCGCCTGTGTACACCACACCGCCTACGTACACCACAGCAGCCGCGTGCAACACAGCGTCGGTTTGTGCCACCACCGCGCGCGGGCACAACAGCTCTTGTGTACACCACAGCGCCTGCGTACACCACAGCAGCCGTGTGCAACACAGCAGTGTACACCACAATGGCTGCGTGCATTGCAGTGCCTGTGTACACCACGGCGACTGTGTGCACCACAGTAACCGTGTGCAACACAGCACCACTGTTGTATGTAGGATGTGGGAAG